GTCTGTGTCTGTCCTCGGGGACACTCTCCAGGCTGACGGTGTCTGTGTCTGTCCTTGGGGACCCTGGCCACTGCTGGCCTTTGAGCCTTTCACTGGTGGGGAGCGATGGGGGCTCCCTCTGTGTGGTCGCTCCCCCGGGCCTGGGTCCTTCCTGCAGAGCTGGGGCTCCGTCATCAGTCACGAGCTTTGTCACTGATGTCGTCGACATCATTGGTGTTGGGAGCCTGAGTTGCCCAGTGAAGTGGGGAGCTGGCCGAGGCCTGCAGGGGGGCCAGGCTCACGGGAGACCCCTCCAGTCAGGGAGAAAAAGCCTTCTGCCCACAGAGCTGAGAGGTAAATTGGCGGTAATTCAAACCTGTCTTTATCTCGGGCAAATCAAATGCGGTCTTCCTCTAGCTGCTCACATGCTCAGGGGCGTTGTTATGTGTGAGGGGTAATCCCAGCAGACACATGGCCACTGGGCCGGCACCACTCCTGGGACACGGTGACGGCAGGCCTGCTGTAAGCCGTGAACAACGCTGTTTTGACAGCATTTCTGCGGCACCCTTTGTCCTTGAACTGACAGCTGGAATGAACCAGGCCCTGCTCTGTGAGACGGGCAGACTCATTAGCCTTCAGAGAAACCAGACAGCACGCGAGCTCATTAGTCTGGGCTGCAGAGGGAGGAGCAGCAAGGGGGCACAGCCACGCCGAGGGCAGCCCCGCCCCGTGGCTGCCTGCCGGGGCCGCCCTCAAGTCCCCCCAGCGCCCAACAGGGTCGTGGTAAAGCCGCCATCATGCGGTGACCACGCACCGCCTGCCACACACCAGCTAAGTGTCCTTGTGTACCACGTATGGAATCTGCACAGCAGCCCCACGTGACAGAGGAGGCCCCTGGGCTCAGAGGGGAGGTCCTTGTCTGAGGTCAGGCCACCTGCAAGCAGCAGCCCCAGGCCTTAGCCTTGTCCCCCTACAGCCGGGCCTGTGCTGGTGAGCTCTGCTCCCTTCTCCTCTGAGCTCTCCCCGGGGAGCCTCTGCCTTCCTCTCCCCTGAGCTCCCAGGCCCTGCACGGAGCACGGGGCACATGGCAGGGCCCATCTGTGGACGGAGGCAGGAAGAACAGAGCACAGGGCATGTGGCAAGGCCCATCTGTGGACGGAGGGAGGAAGAACAGAGCACAGGGCACGTGGCAAGGCCCATCTGTGGACGGAGGCAGGAAGAACAAAGAAACAGAGTGAGGGAGGCAGGAAGGAAGAGAGGAGGAGAGGAGGAAGTGAGAGGGTGACTGAGTGAGTGAATGAGTGAGTGAACAAATGAGTGAATGAATGAGTGAATGACTGAGTGAGTGAATGATTGAGCAAGCGAGTGAATGAATGAGTGAATGACTGAGTGGATGAGTGAGTGAGTGAATCAGTGAGTGACTGAACGAGTGAATGAGTGAGTGCATGAATGGGCAGGCTGTCATTGCCCTATGAAGGGATGGACAACCCAGTAAGCAAGGTACACACGGGTTTACTTGTGCTTACTTACTAATCTGTAGTGCACAATTTCACATGGCCTTGAATGAGTGAGTGAGTGAGTGAATGAGTGAGACTGTGAGTGAATTAATGAGTGAGTGATCAAAGATGTGAAGAACAGATTCGTAACTGAGCATGAGCAGGCCCGTGCACACCTTGCTTACTGGGTCACCCGGTCCTGGGCCCCCAGGTGCACATAGAGGACAGTGACCCATCTGCCCAGCTGAGGACTGGTCGGTGCTCCCAGTAAAGGGAACAGTATCCCTCTTTGTTCAGAAAAGAGAAGAATGTCAGGCACGAGACCCCTCCCAGGAGCTGACAAAGGGCCTGTTCACAAAGCCTGAGTGAACACTTTCACCTTGAAATCGGGCTCTTTGCCTTGGTCGGAGAGATGGATGCCAGAGTCCCGGCCACCCAGCCACCAGTCGCTCAGCCCATTGGCTGGGTATCCGGTCCACCCGGCCCCACCTAGGCCCACCTGGGCCCTGGAGGAGGCGAAGCAAATGCATACACTGGTCCTGAGCACGTTGGGAGGTGGGTCAGGACTGAAGGGCCCAGCTCCTCTGGGCAGGGGCTGTCAGAGAGGGTGAGGGGTCCACTGGAGGCTCAGCCTAGGGCTCATAGCGTTTCCAAGGGTGGTGAGACTTTGTCTCACATACTTTGGACATATTATCAGGAGGGACCAGTCTCTGGAGAAGGACATCATGCTTGGTAAAGTAGAGGGTCAGTGAAAAAGAGGAAGACCCTCAAGGAGATGGATGGACACAGTGGCTGCGACAATGGGCTCAAGCATAGCAATGATTGTGAGGATGGCGCCGGATTGGGTCATGTTTTGTTCTATTGTACATAGGGTCACTAGGAGTTGGAACCAACTCAATGGCATCAACAACAACAACCAGGGTCCCACAAGGAATGGGCAGAGAGTCTGTCTTGTCCCGGGACAAGGTGGGCTCTCGGGGGGCAGTTGGCCACCTTGGGAAAGGCCGCAGCTCCCCTCCTGACACCCACCTCCCGCTCTTCTCCAGGGCTGTGGCTGGAGTGGACAGCGACGCCAACCTCGTCCACGTGGAAGCCCAGGATCCTGGTGGAGGTGAGCCAGGCAGTGGGGAGCACCAGGGCCCAGAGCCTCCCCCACCGCGCCTGAGGCTGAGGCTCAGCTGGCCCGTGTTCAGTCACCCATCCTCAGCGGCCGCCCTGCCTGCGACCTTGCTACGCTCAGATGTGGCATAATTTTAAATGTGCTTGTTTTCCAGCTGGGCGTAAATTGAAATCAAGAAGCTCCGCTCCAGTGGAAAAGTCTATTAAGAGGGCGATTTGTTCTGGCCCCAGAGCATTGAGTGCTTCCTGCTCACTTAGCCCGCCCCCTCCCTGGTGCCCACTAAGGTGGGCCGGGGACCTCCGTGGCTTTGTCCCTCCGGTGAGGGGGTGCCTGCCACCCTGCCCCAGCCGGCGTCATACCAGAGAGAGCCAGGGCCTCACGTGCTAGCAGACATAGGCAGTGCATGAACAAGCTATGTGCCAGTAAAACTTTATTTAGGCAAAGCTGGGGGCACATGAGATTTGGCCCACGGGCTGTAGTTCGCAAACTCTGCCTAAGACACGTTACCTAACCTGCCGGTAAAATGGGACTACTGATATGTGAGGCCAGAAGGGCTCCTCACTGCCAACCGCCTGGCACAGTGCCGGCCCCCAGGGAGCTGTGTTCACAGGGCAGCGCCTTCAGAATCCAACCTGGCAACAAAAGCCCAGGGGCCACGGTGTCCCAGGCACTGGAGCCAGAAGTGTTTGCATTTGGTTGTGTCTGCGGCTGTTCTGGGCAACTTCAGCCGGTCGCTGATCTGATTGCTGCAGGTTTCCGCTATGTCACCTGCCGGATCCACAACTGCTCCGAGAAGACGCTAAGGGCGCCGTTCGCGGGCCCCATCGACCAGGGTTCCCTGACAGTGCGGGACGAGTACGTCTTCCTTAAGGTGCGGCCTGCCGAGGGCTCTCTGCATTGGGTAACGGGGTGCGTGTTAGCCACGTGGGGGAAATAATGACACGGTTATTTTACTTTCAATTGCTACTTAGCGCTCCATGGTGTCCCCTGTGTCCCCAGGGCTGTGGGCACCCTCAAGGGCCCTGACAAACACCAGGCCAGGCTCCGGGTGGTACTGGATCCACCTCCCTCTGCCAGCTGCAAACACCGCGCCCTGCCCAACCTGTCGTCCCCAAGCCCGTTTGTCTCACTTGGCTTTGGTGATGTTGGAACTGACTGGGGGCTGTTTCTGGTCTCCGGCCATCCAGTACCGTCTGTCCACTACCCAGCCAGTGGGACCCTGCTACCTCTACCCCGATGCTGTCAGGAGGGAGAGGTCACAGGTGGGACCACTCTCAGAAACCACGTGGCCCAGCCAGTAAGCACCTGGTCATATAGCTTCTTGATTGCCTTCCTTGATGAAGGGCTCACCCCTTCCAAAACAGCCTAATCTGATCCTAATGGCTCAATTCATTAGAAAGGTTCTTCTGGCAGGGACAAAACTGTTTCCTCTGCATCCCACCTGGTGGCCCCGTGAGACATGTCCGAAGTCTTCTCCTGGGGGAGGCCCTTGCAATCTGAGGCAGCCCCCCAAGCTCTCCTTATGCGGCCGTGGGGCCACTGCTTCATTCCAGTCAACCCTCTCCATGCAGCTGGTGCCAAGGCCCCCCAAAGTGAGGGGCTGGACCTGGCAGAGAGCAGCTGACCCCCACCAAGCAGGCTGGCCAGGAGGCTCCTACCCCCCACCCGTCCTGACTTCCAGCCCCACTCTCCGTTGCCCTCCGCTGACGCCCAGCCCTGGGGCTCACGACTCCCCTCTGTAGACTGCAAGGCCATTCCCTGCGCCTGGCATTCCCATCGCCCTCCTCCACCCACTACACCTACTCCTCTGCCAAGAAGCTCAAGGACCACCTCCTCCAGGCAGCCTTCCCTCACCTTGCCCCACGTGGGTGGGCTGGCTGAGCGCCCGTGCCGCACCCTGCCACAGCCCAGGCCACGTATGTCGCCCTTTGTTGTTGACTCATCTTATACCAGCACCAGCCTACACAATTCTCGGGGTCGGGTCTGTACACACTGCTGCCTTTTTCCCAGCCACCCCTGCAGAGGGCTGGACAAAGAAAGGGTCAGCTTTTCGATGCCACACCCCAAGTCTGAGTGGTCACCTCTGGCCAGAGAGCCGGGAGCAGCCTGTCCTTGCATACGCTGGGTTCACTCAATGTAGTGAGGAGCACACGTGCCATGGGGACCCACTGGGTGTCTCAGGGACAGGGGGCAGGGCAGGCCTCATGGGAAGATCTGGGCTGATGTTGCGTGATTTGAGGGGTGCAAGGCGGCAGGGCTTTGCACCGGCGAGGACTCCGTCCCGAGCGGGGTCAACCTGTGGTTGCTGCTGTGTGCCGTCGAGTCGATTCTGACTCATAGCGACCCCACGTGACAGAGGAGAGCTGCTCCACAGGGTTCCCTAGGCTGGAATCAGATTGCTAGGTCTTTCTCCCGGGGAGCTGCTGGGTGAGCTCAAGCCGCCCACCTCTTGGTTAGCAGCGGAGCTCTTAACCATTGAGCCCCCAGGACTCCTTAAATCTGTGGTCAGGTACCCCAGTATCCTCATTGACAGAGAGGGAGACTCAGCAGGCTAGAGCTGGGCTTGGGGAGGCCGCAGCAGACCCCACCTCTGGGCAGAAGAGGAGGTGGCTGGTCCATTTGTGATGCGGAGCCCAGGGGAGGGGGTGGCTGGTCCCCTTGTGGTGTGGAGCCCAGGGGAGGGGGTGGCTGGTCCGTTTGTGGTGTGGAGCCCAGGGGAGGGGTGGCTGGTCCGTTTGTCGTTCGGAGCCCGGGGAGGGGTGGCTCCTCCCCTTGTGGTGTGGAGCCTGGGGAGGGGTGGCTGGTCCGTTTGTGGTTCGGAGCCCAGGGGAGGGGGTGGCTGGTCCCCTTGTGGTGTGGAGCCTGGGGAGGGGTGGCTGGTCCGTTTGTGGTTCGGAGCCCAGGGGAGGGGGTGGCTGGTCCCCTTGTGGTGTGGAGCCTGGGGAGGGGTGGCTGGTCCGTTTGTGGTTCGGAGCCCAGGGGAGGGGGTGGCTGGTCCCCTTGTGGTGTGGAGCCCGGGGAGGGGCGGCTGGTCCGTCTGTGGCTCGGAGCCCGTGTTGGCCCGCGTTCACCCAGTCACAGATGGCCCCGCGGCAGAGTCAAGAGTGGCCTTGCCCGTGTTTGGTGAAATCACTCAGACCGAGCCGGGAGGGCCCAGCCAACAGCACCCAGGCAGGGCTGCCGTCTCCCCAGTCCACCCAGAGTCACGTGGTTTGCACCTCTCTGGACACCTGCATGGAAGAGCGTGTCCCGACCCCCACCCAGGCCCCTGCGTCTTTTCTCCTTGTGTGCTTGTTCCTCCAGGAGCTGGAGGACAAACACTGAGAGTGGCCTGCCTCCCGGCCCATCTTCCCTCTTCCCCTTCCCACCCTGGGCCACGAGGACACAACGCCCCCCCACCCCCGGGCTGGGACGTGGAAAGCCACCCCTTCCGGGCTCGGGGCTCCCCCGAGGCTGCAGCGCTTCTCCCCCCGCCCACTGCGACACGGATGTGAAGATCCACCTCCCGGGGCAGGGTTGGGAGGCGCCCTGTGGGAGGGGCAGGCAGCGCGGGGGCTCAGGAGCCACTCTCCTCTGCTCCCTGGCCAGCCAGCTCACTGCTGAGGGGCTGTGGCTGTGACAGCGAGGACCGGCGCTCACTTGTCTTAGGTTCTCTAGGGAAACAGAACCAGCGGAATACAGACAGACAGAGAGACACCCTGCCCAAACGGTTTAGCACTTGGCTCCTAACCGAAAGGTTAGCTGTTCAAATCCACCCAGAGGCACCTTGGAAGAAACGCTTGCTGATCTGCTTCCAAAAAATCCGCCACTGAAAACCTTATGGAGCAAAGCTCTGCTCTGACATACATGGGGTCACCATGAGTCGGAGTTGGCCCCATGACAACTGGCTGTATATATAAATATATACACAGAGAGAGAGGTTTACATCACGGAATTGGCTCACGGGACTGCAGGGCTGCAAGTCAAACTCTGTAGGTTGGCGGCAGGCTGGAGACTCCTGCAGATTTGTGTCCTGAGTGGGTCTCACGATGGGGAGAGTGCAGAGTGGAGAGAGAGAGCGAATTCTGCCCAATTATCTATTGACAGTCTGGACGCAGAACACACCCTAAGGAGACTCCCCTTCCAGCGGATTTGCACACACAGTGGCACACTCACATACACGCACATACCCACTGAGACTTAGAGGCTCCAGAATGTTCTCCCCTCCCCACCCCCTCTGCTATCTCCCGCTCCTCCCTCTTTGCTGACTTGTAGGCGCTCCTCCACCCCAAAAAGCAGATGGCTGTCTTCCCAGCTCTTCTCCTACCCGCTGTGCCTCAGTGTCCTCATCTGTAAAATGGACGTGGGCATGTTGTGAGGCTCACGTGAGCTACCCTGGGTGAAGCGCCGGGACGGGCTGGCTCCTGTTTCATCTCTCATGCCCAGTGGTTCGGTGGTCTCTTCTGTGGCTTGTGCTTAGCTTCGGCTTGCCTCCTCCTCTCCACAGTGGCTCATCAAGCAGTCACTCTCCCTAAGAGAAGTTCTGGGGAATGGAACTTTCTCCACCCTGTCCCACAATTCAGACACAGGGAGATGAGGTGCTGAAAGAGCTTGGAGGACAGAGATCAGTTTTAAATAAGGGAGGTAGAGGAAGATATCACAGAAGAGGGGCATTTCATCTGGGGCTTTGAAGGATGAATAGGAGTCTGTCCATTTCTGGCAGAGCAGGTACAAGCAAAGTAAAAGGGCATTTCTTCCCACTTAGTACAGCGTGCCGTTTTCATTCATGAGGACCTGGCTTGACAGCAAGCCAATCCCTTTTAAGGTGCTTTTCTTCCTTCCTGTTAGGCAACCTCAACAAACCGGACCAAGTACTACGTCTCTTATCGTCGCAATGAATTTGTCCTGATGAAGCTGCCAAAGTACGCATTGCCCAAGGTAAGAGCAGGCTCCCCAGTTCCACTGGGCCTGTGACCAGACCCTGAGCCTGCATGGGTCCCGGGTCAGGAGGGACAGGAGCGTGCCTGGCCGTGCATCCTGGGTTACTGTCACCTCCAGCACCTCTCCCTTCACCCCCTCTCCAGCCAGCCTGGCCCTTCCAGCCTCACTGTGCCCAGCTCCCATCTGCCTTGGATCTCTGCCGACTCTTCCTTCTGGCTGGTCTGATACCCAGAACTCCTGCATGTGGTGACATTTTCAGGGGAACCTCACTTCCTAGTGGCTCCAGGCTGGTCCAGGCTGCTGCCCTCCACTCCCCCCCCCCCATTCTCCTCCTAAAGCCCACTCTCGGCTGGAGTTTCCAGGGGGCAGGCCATTTCTGTTTTATTCCCCTCTGCATGCCTAGCAGCTGGCACACAGTAGGGGCTCAATTAATGCACTCCTTCCTTTGCCTGGGCCAGCAAAGAAGGGGCCTGGGAGCTGCCAGATGCTGCCCCAGCCTTGTCCCAGGACTCCAAGTCCCCTCCTGCTAAGCTTATGGCCCCCTTTACAGAGGAGGTGGGTGAAGTTCAGAGAGGCTGAGTAAGCTGCTGAGGCCACCCACCTCGTTAGAAAGAAGTCAGGTCTCCGCCCAGGTCTAGTGATCTGAGCCAGCTCCGCCCTGTCTCTGCCCAGAGGAGACTCGTCCCCAGGCGAGTTTAGAAGCACAGAAAGACCCCCTTCCTTCCACATGTATTAACTGAGGGCTGTGGCAGGAGCTGGCATCATGTCTGTGAGGAAGGACAGGCAGAAAATCAGGTGGACAGAGGAGCCAGTACCATCATGCAAGTGGGGCTTTGTGCTTCCAGGGGAACAAGAGGCAGAGACGAGGGACAGTGGGGGCGATTTAGACCCAATGACTGGGGAGGCCTCTCCGTGGGGATGTTCCACAGGAAGCCTGAAGGTCAGAAATGAAGTGGCTTTGGGAAGAGCAAAGAGGAAGGTGTTCCTGGTGGAGGGCAGGGTATGTGCAAAGGCCCTGTGGCGGGAGAGAGCCTGGCTGGAGGGCAGAGAGAAGGAGAGGAGATGGAAGCTTCAGGTGGGGTCAAGTCCGGGACCCTAGGCTGTGTCGGGTGCCCTCTGGCCTCTCTGAGTCTGAAATGGGAAAAGGACATGAGGCGCTTTCTTGTTTTAATATCCCTTAAAAAAAAAATAAATGGATGGATGGGTGGATGAATAAGCCCTGGTGGCACAATGGTGAAGTGCTCGGCTGCTGACCAAAAGGTCATCAGTTCAAACCCACCAGCAGCTCTGTGGGAGAAAAGACCTGGAGATCTGCTCCTGTAGAGATTACAGCCTAGGAAACCTTATGGGGCAGTTCAACTCTGTCACATCAGTCTCTGTGAGTTGGAATTAACTCCAGGTACCCAACAACAACAACAAAGGAATGAATGAATGCATGAGAGAGAGGAACTGAAAGAAAGAAAGAAAAAGAACAAGCTTACTAGATTAACTGCAGGCTTGGCTGAGAAGGCAAATTAAAAGCTAATGGCTTCATTGAGGCAGAGGCAGCTGGCCTCCCTGGGGGATGGAGGACCTTTCAGCTTCCAAGCGGCTTCTCTTCTATCCCTGGGGATGGTGGCCTTGGGGGCGGCAGCCTCCGAGGGGGCCTGTGTCTTCGTCCTTTGTCCTGATGTCAGGAGGAAGTGCATGGCTGACGCCTGGCCCCAGTCGCTCCTGCTTCTCTCTGGGACCCTGGGTTGCCATTGTATGTCTTGGGGGCCAGTGGGGGTGGCTGGACTAGTGCTGGGCCTTCCTGAAGGTGTCTTAGGGAGCTTAGGTTCGCGTGGCCTCTGTGACCCTGACTGACCTCAGTCCTCATCTGCAGCTGGACAGTCACAGTATGGGCATCTCGAGGGAGGTATGAGATGGACAGGAAGCAATGCAGCGTCACCCCACGGCCGGCCCTCTGGTGGAGGGCAGGAAACGCTGGTCTTCTTCCCCAGCCTCTTAACTACAAATGGGGGATCACTCAACAGATTCACAAGGCTGCAGTAGATGTGACCCCCGAGATCCTAGCCGGGCAACAGAAAGGAGAGAGACATACACGCACTCAAGTCATCCAAGTCGCCGAAGTGGTAGCACTGGCCTCGGGGCTGAGCGTGCACACCCGGGCATGCCAGGATGCAGGGATGGACTCTGAGGATGTCGGACAGTCAGTTGCTCTCCAGGCCCCCAGCCCTGCAGCGGTGTCACAAGCCACATCTCAGCTCGCTGAGAAGTCTGCCTAGCCAGAGAGAACCCTGCTTCCTTCCCCTAAATCTGAGGGAACATGCCAGAACCTCATCATGGTTCCCGTCTGCAACTTGCAGACCTGGCTAACTGAATTTCCTAATCAGACTCAGTTGTTGCCTGGTAAATTTGTAACTCTTGCCCATTTCACCCTGAAGCCAACCCCGTCTTTTTTATTTTTATTTTTTAATTGCCCTAAGTAACATCATGAAAACCATAGAAATCAGCCCGGAGGGGAACACGCCCCCAAGCCTCCCTCCCCCACCACCTTTCCGTCCTTTGGCTTGGCTCTGCCGCCGGAGCCGCTGCCGAGGGACAAGCGTGTAGTTGCTTTGTGCCTGCCCTCCCGTGACCATGTAGCATTTTTCCAGAGTGATACAGTGTATCCACTTTCATGGCTGCATAACCTTCAATTGAAGAGACTACCTTATTTAGCTAAACCAGACTCCTGCTGCTTGGACATTCGGGCTGTTTCCGTTTCTCGTAATTGTAAACAGCACTGCAATGGATATGTTAGCGTGTGCAGATATTTTTAATTTTCTCGGGTTCAGGTCAAAGGGGGACTTCTGCATAAAGGATGTACAGATTTGTGTAGCTTAGCCGCTTTTTCAAAGGGTAGTACCACCCCACCCTGCCACCTGAAAAACGAGAGTAGACCAGTTTTAACACGGCTTTGCTGAGTTTGAGTTTTATCACGTGTCTCAACCTGGGTTCTCGAGAGAAGCAAACACAGTGAAGCATGTGTGTATGTACAGAGAGAAAGAGTCACAGAGAGAGATTTATCTCAAGAAATGGCTCACACGGTTGTAGAGGCTGGAAAGTCCCAAGTCTGTGGGTCAGGCGCCAGGCTGGAGGCTTCTCCTGACTCAGGTGGCTGCAGGGGATGACGAACTCCAAGATCAGCAGGTTAGACAGCAGGCTGCTGGCTCATGGGCTGCAGAAGCTGACAAATCCAAGATTGACAGGCAATATGGCAGGCTGCTGGCTCAAGTCCCAAGAACTGGAGGTCAGATGATGACAAGCTGGATGCAGGATGCAGAGTGAGCAAAAGCCAGGAAGCTTTGCCATAACATCCATATATATTGGATGCAGGCCACACCACCGAGGAAACTCCCCTACCCCCAGGACCTGCGGAGCCCATGGCCGTCCACTCCTTGTGCCCGCCCTGACCCCGTGCCCCCATCCCCAGGACCTGTGGAGCCCGAAGCTGTCCACTTCCTGTGCCCCCCACCCCGACCCCGTGCCCCCATCCCCAGGAGCTGCAGAGCCCGAGGCCGTCCGCTCCCTTTTCCTCTCCCTGACCCGCAGTCTCTCCCCAGGACCTGCAGAGCCCGAGGCCGTCCATTCCCTTTTCCTCTCCCTGACCCGCACTCTCTCCCCAGGACCTGCAGAGCCCGAGACCGTCCGCTCCCTTTTCCTCTCCCTGACCCGCACTCTCTCCCCAGGACCTGCAGATCGTCAGCACGGATGAGAGCCAGGTGTTCATGGCGGTGCAGGAGTGGCACCAGGTGGACACGTACAACCTGTACCAGTCAGACCCGAGAGGGGAGCTCTACTCGCTGGTGCTGGAGCACGTGCGCAGCTCGCGGCAGGCGGAGGAGAGTGTGCTGATTGACATCCTCGAGGTGGGCGCAGCCAGCTGGCAGCACAGGGCTCACCTGGGGGCCTCACCTGGGGGCCGGGCCAGGGCTCCCCCCATGCCTGCCTGCTTCCTCCCTCACTCTCTAGTGCTCTCTCCCTCTTTCTGTCTGTCTTTCTCCCCCGACTCTCTCTTTCCCTCTCTGTCTCTGTCTCTCTCTGTCTCTGTGTATCTCTCTGTCTCTGTCTCTCTATGTCTCACTCTCTGTCTCTCTGTCTCTCTGTCTCTGTCTCTCTCTGTCTCTGTATCTCTCTGTCACTGTCTGTCTCTCTGTCTCTGTGTATCCCTCTGTGTCTGTCTCTGTCTCTGTATCTCTCTGTCTCTGTGTCTCTGTCTCTGTCTCTCTGTCTCAGAGGTCCTCACTCTCTGAGTCTCCACCGTCCTCCAGAACGTGCACAGCCTTGGCCCCGGGCGGGTGTGAGGGTGGCGTGTGCTCGTGCCCAGAGCACTTAGCAAGGTGCTGGAGGCCAGCAGGTGCGACACCAGTGAGCTCAGGAGCCAGTTTTGACAATCCTTTCTGTGTCTCTGTCCCAGGTCAGAGGGGTGAAAGGCGTCTTCCTGGCAAACCAGAAGATCGATGGGAAGGTAATGACACTTATCACCTACAACAAGGGCCGAGACTGGGCTTACCTGAGGCCCCCCAGCACGGACATGAAGGGGAAACCCACCAACTGCAAGCCGGTGAGTGCTCTGCTCATGCCACATGCCTTTGGTGGGGAGGGGGCGGGTGCAGGGTGTGGCCGCAGAAGTTGAGGAGATTGAAGACCAGATATGTGAGAAGGACCATCTGAGAGTCACACGAGCCAGCACAGTGGAGAGGGTCAGGTGGAACTCCTTGTAATGCACACAAGTGTACTGGGAGTCAGTCAGACAGGGAGCGTGTATCAGTCAGCTCTTGCCATGAAATTGCTGTGTAACAAAGCAGCCACACACAGCTATCAGTTAGTGTCCTAATCCAAGGATGGGCTCAGCTGGGTGGCTCTGCTGGGCTCCGCTGGACGGCTTTCCACATCCAGCACCCTCCTCCTGGGACCAGCCTAGGTTCGTTTCCGTGGCAACAACAGAGGCACAAGAAGGTACTTGTGCTACATCTGCTAATGTCCTGCTGGCCAAGGCTGAGGCCCAGGAAGCACACTGTGCCAAGGTGGCGGGAGGGAGGGAACACTGTTTCTAACGTTCTGCGGGAGGCCACGGGCCGCCACGGGCAGTCTGTGGCAGAGCGGGGCTGGGACCCCAACACCACTAACTGCAGTGCTGGTTTGCTCTCCCAGGGCACCTCTCCACACGGGACAAGTGTGGACTCCCCAAGGGCTTTGGGTGCCCAGGGGAGCTCTCCAGTCACCAGGGCGCCCCCAGCCCTTGCGTGGTGCCAGGAATCACTGTGGAGCAGCCCGTGCTGGTGGGGAGGGAAGATGGAGAGGCTGGAAGGGGCCTGTCTCTCACCCGGCCCTGGCCAAGGCCAGTGCTCAGGGAGCAGCTGGGAGGGATGAATGAAGAGGCTGGAGGGTCCTGAGGTGTCGCAGCGGCGACGGTAATCTGGACGGCGAAGACAGTAACCAACTGCACAACTCTTACAGAGAAGTGGGGCCAGGAGGGTCACTCTGAGGAGTCGACCCCCGCTTCAGTCCCAGGAGTTTATTTTATAGTCAGTACAGCAATCAATAAGGCAATTAACAAAACAATGGGCTTTGAATGCCGGCAAGGAAGAAGGAATTCAGGTAAACAAGTCAATCAGTAAAGGGAGCATAGGTTTGGGAAAACACATCCGGACAAGTCTCGACATGCTGTGCAGCATAGAGGCCTGTGGGGGCTGCAGTTGTCAATAGTGCAGCCATGTTTAAATGGCCTATATCCCCACACTGAGGGTCTGGCTGAGGCCGGCCACTCGGTCCTCAGTGGGACCTCGCCTCTCCCTGGCTTCTCTCCTTGCATACCACAAGGGACTCATTACCATCAGCATCCCTGAGCCTTCCCCCAGCACTGGCCTCTCAGGGTGGGAGAGGGTCCAGAGACCAGCAGAGCTGCAGTCTGAGCTCATTCATGCCCTGCTGTGTGTGACCAGGGTCAAGTCAGTCGGTGCCCCCGAGCTGTCAGTGACAAAGGAAGGAGGTGGTAAAAGGCCCTGTGGTGTGAGGAAGTGAAGGAGTGCATACACATGGACAAGCAGGCGAGGACGACCCTCCCCCTTTTCACACATCCCTTCCCTTTTCCTCCTCCAGCAAACTCCTACTGACACCTGAAAACCCTGCCCAAATGTCCCTCCACTGAGAAGGCTCCAGTGGGCTCACTTGCTCCTGTGTCTGTTTCCCATGTCGCTCGACTCGGCCCCTGGAGATGCGGAACCCGTCGCTCCGCCTCTCTGGGACTCAGTTTCCTAATCTGCAGAACAGAAAGAGTAGCGTGCCTGTTTCATAGGGTTATTCAGCACATATGTGTGCATACCTACTATGTGCCAAACAAAACAGAAGATAACCCCGTCCTTGTGGGCTCATGCCCCGCACACACGTGTAGTAAGGTGCCGTCAAGTCTGCTCTGACTCACGGCCCCTTAGGCACAAGGGAAGGGAACGCTGCCCGGTCCTGCACCATCTTCACGATCGTTGGTGTGTTTGAGCCCATTGTTGAGGCCACTGTGTCAGTCCACCTCCTGGAGGGTCCCCTCATTGCCCTGACCCTCCACTTTACCAAATACACATCCTTTTCTAGGGATTGGTCTTTCCTGATGACGTGTCCAAGTAAGAATTGAAGTCTCACCATCCTTGCTAACACGGCACACAGTAGGGGCTCAGAAAATGGTACCCTGCCCTCCACCCCTGTATCCTTGGCCCACGGGGGCCATTGCATTGAAATGTCCGCTGTAGGATCAGTTTCTCCGTCTTCCAGTCAGGGGAGGCTGGCCCTGGGAGCCAGGGAGGACGCTGTGGCCCCCGCGGTGGCCTGAGCCCACAGGAGGGCAGGGCTGGTTCTCAGAGCCTGAAGCTGAGCCCTGGCCCACCCCTCACTGGGGGCTGCCGTTCAGCCTCTGTATAAGCCCCGCTCCAGCTGATAGCCCAGGATCATACCACCTGTCGGCCTTCATGGAGAATTAATTACCTGCCACTTCTACAAACCCTTCCAAGAGCAGAATTGCAGCGAAAGGGCTAATTTCTGTATCATCATTGACAAAGTTAAGCAATATTAATCTGTCAAAGCAAGGTTTTTGCTAAGAATAGATTCTTGTCTGCAATTATGCGGCTCAGTGAGGAGATACCCTTGTGAGATTTATGCCCTGGGCCTAAAATAATAAAGATAGGAGCCGACTGGCGGGTGTGCGCCCCGGGCAGACACAGGAGAGCCTGGTGAAGCAGAGAGCACAGAGCACCCGGGAACCCAACTGGGTGCCAGAGACAGACAATTACAGCCGGCTCGGGAGGCTGGTGCCCTGAGCACGTAGCTGCCGAGGCATGCGGGGGTTAACCCAGGGAGAACACAGCCCTGGGGAAACCAGCCGTGCACAAAGTCAGACAATTACAGCCAAGCTCGGGAGGTCGGTGCCCAGAGCAGGCTGCTGCTGTGATGTGGCGGAGGTAGGCAGAGGGGGTACGGGGGTGGGCAGGACTTCCCTCAGCAAGACGCTCACTCGGCCATGTGCCCACTTGGAACAGCTCAACTGCATGCAAGGGTCCATTTCCCGCCATGGAAGTGACCCCAGCTCATTGCAGACCCCGGGACAACAGAGAAATGTGTAAAAAGGGAAATAAGGAACAACTCTTTCAGCTACTAACCTAAAGGATGGCAGTTTCAAACCCACCCAGTGTTGCCGTGGAAGAAAGGCCTGGCAATCTGCTTCCGTAAGGAAAACCCTACGGAGCGGTTCTGCTTTGTCACACGGGCTCGCTGAGAGTTGGAATCGACCCGAAGGCCATGGGTTTGGTTTTTAGTTTGGTAATCTCTCTGCAGGAGACCTGGTGGCGCAGTGGTTAAGCGCTAGGCTGTGAACCAAAAGGTCGGAGGTTCGAACCCACCAGCCGCTCCACAGGAGAAAGATGTGGCAGTCTGCTTCCGTAAAGATTTACAGCCTTGGAAACCCTATGGGGCAGTTCTACTCTGTCCTATAGGGTCACCATGAGTCAGAATCGAGTCCCCAGCGGATTTGGTTTTTGGCTTTTTCTGGTTTAATCTCACTGGAGCCTCTGGACAAAAGGTGAATGGGCTCAGATGCTAACCAAAAGGTTGGAGGTTCGAGTCCACCCAGAGATGCCATGGAAGAAAGGCATGGTGATCTGCTTCCCAAAAGTCAACCACTGAAAACCCTGTGGAGCACAGTTCTCCTCTGACACGCACGGGGCCACCGTGAGCTGGAGTGGACGCCACAGCACTGGGTGGTTCGTGACCACACCACCCGGAAATAGCAATAATCCAGTTTCTTCTTTGCCTTCCTTTATATCTTATGTGCATGCTAAAATAGCAAACCTGGAACCCTAATGCACATGCGGTTTTTCAGCCTTCTGTTTTGGCCTTTACTCTGGATCACCCCGAGTTGCCATGGCCTCTCTATCTGGGGAGATTCTCTGTCGTCATGGGAACGACAGACTTTTGACAGATCCATTGGAGGATGATACAGCATCCTTGGAAGGTGGTTTGGGATCTGTTTGCATCTTGAATTCAGGATAAAAATCATCCATTGATGCAACTCAGGTGACTCTTCTCAGAGACGGCTGAATGGAGAAGCAGGGGTCTAGGCGGGATGACAGCAGGAATTGGGGCTGATAGCGGGGTTCCAAGCTGGTAATGAGGTCTGAGCAGGCTGACAGTGGGTGTCCGGGCTGACAGTGGGGTCCAGGCAAGCTGACAGTGGGGCTCCAGGCTAATAGCGGGGGTCCAGGCTGATGGTAGGGTACAGAAGGCTGATAGTGGGATCAAGGGATCAAGGAATGATGAGGAAGGTAGCCTCGGGGGCAGACACAGGGCAGAGAGCATACACGGCCCCTGGCACGGCCCCTCCTTCCACTTTGCTCCCGCCACATGCCCAGCCCAGGGGGTGGCCACCGCACTGCAGGCCCAGGTTTCCAGCTACTCACATTTTTTTAAGAGCAGCCAGGACTCTGGAGATTTATGTGTAACCTTCTGATTTTAAAATATTAGCAGCTAATACATTTTTGAGCCCCTGGGTGGTGCAAATGGTTAAGTGCTTGGCTAATAACCAAAAGGTTGGAGTTTGGAGTCCACCCAGAGAACCAGGGATATCATTGCTGTTGTCAGATGGATCCTGGCTGAAAGCAGAGAATACCAGAAAGCTGTTTACCTGTGTTTTACTGACTATGCAAATGCATTCGACTGTGTGGATCATAAAAAATTACTGATAACTCTTCCAAGAATGGGAATTCCCAGAACACTTCATTGTGCTCATACAGAACCTGTCCATGGACCAAGAGGCAGTCGTTTGAACAGAACAAGGGGATACTGTGTGGTTTGAAGTCAGGAAAGGTACGTGTCAGAGTTGTATCCTTTCACCATACTTATTCAATCTGTCTGCTGAGCAAATAATCGGAGAAACTGAATTATACGAAGAAGAACGGGGCATCAGGATTGGAGGAAGACTCATTAACAACCTGTGTCATACAGATGACACAACCTTGCTTGCTGAAAGTGAAGAGGACTTGAAGCGTTTACTGATGAAGATCAAAGACTACAGCCTTCAGT